TTACATTTCCTAAACATTATTTAACATATTTGCATACATAAGGTTGAGAAATAATAAAAAAAAAAATTATATGGGAAAATTAAAACCCATTTTGTCCCTATTCTCAAGAATCACTGGTGGGACATCATGTTCTCTGCTTTAGTTCCCGGCTGACCCAGATCCCAGGGAGGAGGCTCTTCAATTTCTGCTCCAGATCAAATGGACCTGGAGCAGAACCTGTTTGGTTTGTTGCAGTTCTTTAGGCTAGTTTGACCTTTGACCCTTCTCTTCCAACCTGTGGTTGATGTTCCCCATTAAATGGACCCAAAGTGGTTCCACCCTGTTTGGTTCTGTTGGACCTGATGCAGATGAGGATGAGGTTCTGCTGTGGGACCAGCTGTGATGCATTTAAGGAACCGCTGGTCCTGTGGGAATTTACAGGCCCGTCTAAGATTTCTAACAGCTTCAGCGTCTCAGAGAGTTTAGTTTGGGATTATGGATCATAGATTATGGGTGGAATCCTTCCTATTGATGTTCTGGGTTTCAGACGGCTTTGGTGGAGATGTTCTGAAGGAACTTTGTTCTGGTTCTGCAGGAGCTGTGTCTACTCTCTGCTGACCCGCGGGCGGCCGGTTCCTCTGAAGATCATCTGCTCCTCCATCGTCTTCTGCTCTCTGAACGGCTTCCTGCAGGGACACCACCTGCTGCACTGCGCTCACCTGCAGCACACCTGGCTGACCAGCGCTCGCCTCTCTGCAGGTCAGACACAACGCTCCGCCGCGGCAGGAACCGGTTCTGAAGGATTTCTGAAGTCCAAAAGCTGAACAAGCCACCAGAGGACATTCAGAAGCACGCTAGAACATGAATTGATTTGTTTTTGTTTGGAAAGATGAGATGAGGAAGTTTGGGTTTGGTTTGTTCAGGGGGTTCTGAAATAAGAAAGTGAGGAATTGGGGCGTGGATCAGGGTGGGTAGAGATGTGCCTTCTGCAGGACTTCATGTCTTGATTCTGTTTTCTCAAGGCATTCTGCTGTTTGCTGTCGGTCTGACCATCAACATCCACAGTGACCATATCCTGCGTAACCTGAGGAAACCTGGGGAGTACGTCTACAGGATCCCCCACGGTAAGCCAAAGACTCTATAGCTCCGCCTTATGCTGACTTCCTGTTGACCGGTCTCCGTCTTCCAGGGGGGATGTTTGAGTTAGTTTCTGGTGCTAACTTCTTTGGGGAGATCACAGAGTGGTGCGGCTTCGCCCTCGCTGCTTGGTCCTTTCCAGCCTTCGCCTTTGCCTTCTTCACCATCTGCTCCATCGGGCCCAGAGCCTACCATCACCACAGGTACCGTTCAGTCCCATACTTTCAGGATCAGACACACTGAACAAAGGTTTTGGTTGGGTTATGGTTTGGGTTTTAGCTCGCATCAGAAGAACTCAGGCTGAATCGCTCCCTGCGTGTCTTCCAGGGATTATAAGCGGAGGTTTGAGGACTACCCCCGCTCCAGGAAAGCCATCATTCCCTTCATTCTTTAGGGATGGAGACCCAACCCGTGAGAACTGGTACCTTCTGGAGGCTGTTGCAGTTCCTCCTCAGAGAACCAACACATGCTCCATAAATCCAACCCCGAGCCTGAACTGGACCGGTACAGGCTGACGTTCCCTCCATCCAGGATTGGGTATAGGTCAAGGGTCAGGACCAGGGCACCAACATCCCCGCAGACCCCGCACATCCTGGACTCAATATGTCCGGGCTTTCATCATCAGGTGGTGCCACAGAGACAGTTTGTCCCCACAGACTGTCTCTGTTGGACAGGTGAACTCCTTCCTGAGTCGTCTGCTGCTCTGCAGTGAAACTAAATAAGCAGATTTTAAATGTTACAACCTGGTTCATTTTCTTTAATATGGTCCTATATTCACATGTATGTACTTTTTATTCTTTTATTTCCTCTAAACTTTATGTATTTGTCTTAATGTCGGTCCATCAGAATAAACATTAAAGCTGACTCAGACTGTTGGCGGGTTCTGGGCCTGGTTCTGGTTCTGGGTCTGGTTCTGGGACTGGTTCTGGTTCTGGGTCCGATTCTGGTTTTGGGCCTGGTTCTGGGTCTGGTTCTGGTTCGGTGGATTCTTCACTCATACTTCCAAAGTGGAGTTTTACTATGACTTGTCTGAGTAGCAGCCATTTAAATGTAGTAAATATTATGATTAGCTCCTTTTGAACATGTAACTCAGTTTTCCTCATCCTGGTTGCAAAGAACTGAAATGTTTAGTTTGTTGCTCCATATCGTTTGTTGTTCTGTATCGTTTGTTGCTCCGTATCGTTTGTTGTTCCGTATCATTTGTTGCTCCGTATCGTTTGTTGTTCCGTATCGTTTTTGCTCCGTATCGTTTGTTGTTCCGTATCGTTTGGTGCTCCGTATCGTTTGTTGCTCCGTATCGTTTGTTGCTCCGTATCGTTTGTTGTTCCGTATCGTCCACAGGACTTAATTCTCAATGTTTACATCAAATCTATTTAAAAACCTGATTTGGAGTTAAATGCAGATGTAGTCATTATTGTGGGAGATTTTAACATTCGTGTTGACACTGAAACTGAGTGTAGCTTATTATGCTACCTTAGGCTCAGTTGGTTTGGTATCCGCTGTCCTTCCTACTCCTGTGATTTTTTTCATTTCTGGACATTTTAAGATCATGAATATCATTAAACGGCCGTTTGTGGCAGAAGGCGTCGATTAAACCAGATTGTTAGAATATTAATGAATATTAATGTTTCTGCAATTTGACAAATACTTCTTGAAATTAGATAATATTAAAAATCTTTTCACACTGATGTAATCTGGCAGCTCTACAGTCTGCAGGGCCACGTCAATTCATAAGGCGGGCCAGATTTGGGCCCAGGCCTTCAGACCTCGTCTTGAAACTTTAACCCAGCAGCAAAATGTTCAGCTTTTCTCGTTTAGGGTAAGCAGAACCACGTTTTAAAGGAAAGCTGCAACATTTCTCATAAACTCAGATTTCAGACCCACATTCAGTCAGAACCAGAGGAGCTGCCAGGTCAGAACCTGGGTGCTCCTCAGGTTCTGTCTGGTGTTGGAACATTTCCTGAAGCTAACTCTGCAGGACTGCAACATAGGAAAACATTCATTAAATTATCCTGCTCAAAGTTATGGAGAATATTTCTTCTGAGCCAGGATTTTAAACCTTTCTGAACAGAAATCCAGCCTGCGGATCCAAAGCAGATTACCTCTTCTTTAGATTTTAACGGCAGCTTGCGTCCATTATTGTTGCACTACTGCCATCTGTTGGATCCTAATATCTACCCCTCAAATTCTCCTAATTAGCCCAGTATTTTTAAGACGAAAAATCTTCTTTTCCCCCTCAATACTATTTAACTGATCGACATTCTCAAATTTCAATTCTCTATTAAAACCTAATTCCGTTTTTAATAATCTTCTTTGAGTCACATGTTTCTTACAACTAATAAAAACATGACCCATCGTTTCTACAGTATCACACCGATATAAACCAGTGAGATGTTTCCTCATCTTAAAAAGAGATCCATTTAAAAAGGTGTGACCGACCAAAGCAGATTAGTTTTTCCTCCAGCCTGAAATCAAGTACTTGCTATGCTCTTACTTTGAAAGGAAACCGGAAACAACGTTGCTTTTATTTTGGAAGGAACGTTTCTGACGTAACGTCAAAGCAGAATCAGCGTACGCCGGATTTACTGCGCACACTTCCACAACAAACATGGCGGATGGTGAGTTCATTGTTGAGCTTTGATGGTTCTTATCGGTGGGTCCTGGGGAGGTTCGGTCCGGTTGTTCGGTGGTTCCGGTTTTATCCGGCGCGTTATCGTTCAGGTCTCCCGCCGTTGGTCGCTTCCTGTCCTCGGTTCGGTTTATTTACCGGAAAGAGCTAAGATGCTAAGCTAACAACCAGCCGCTTACTGACCCACGTCGCCCGGTTCGAGCTGGGTCCGGGTCCAGGCCCGGCCCGGATCCAGGCCAGCTGTACGGGTTAAGACTGGCCAGAACCAGAACCGAAACGCTTCTTTCGGATTTATTTCCAACTGAACTTTAAACAGCCGAGTTCGTCCCTGTTGTGTTGCTGGAGAGGCAAACAGAACCAGAACCGGTTCTGGTGGTTCTGACGGCGAGTCCCTTGCGGTTCCGAATGAACCCCCAGAACCTCTACCAGAACCTCCGTTAAAGTTTCTGGTTATGAGTCCAGAGCTGCGGGGAGGTTACCATGGTAACAGCCGCTGGAGACGTCACCAGGTTCCCATGAAGCTGATCCCAAACCCAGTCGGTCCAGTTAGGGTTTTAGTTCTGGAGTCAGAGGAACAATCGGGGTTTCCCCCAGAAAACCTGCTCAGCCCGGTGGTCGGGTCCCGAGGCGGTCCACCGTGTTTTTGTATTAAAAGATGTTAAAGAGAGGACATTTGAAAATATCACTCGGTAATCATACGGGAAAACATCGCCAGTGAAACATTACTTAAACCCACAACTAGTCTTAAAAACAAATCAAAATACACAATTAAAATGAATATCAATTATTTGCACTTTTGTTTAATCCAAGTCAAGTCAGCGGCTCCATCGGGCTCCCAGGGCTTCAGGGGCCACAAATGCTGACATTTTAACACAGAATGTAACACTTATTTATTGAGATTATCAATGCTGCTAAATTTTAATCAATTTCAGCATACATAAATTAAAAGATTTTAAATTGTTTAACATTTAAATGTAAGAGTTTAAGGAGCTGGCAAGTTTACTTTGTAAAAATTCAGAAAACAATATTCATAGTTAGATTGTTTTGTTACCATAGAAACAATCTGATGCTGTGAGCTTAATCTTTGAGTTTGAGCTGTTTGTTCACAAATACAATTTAGTAAACTGCAATTATAACTGATTGCTTTCTAGGTTGGCCAATTAAACTAGTCCCCCTCTCTCAGATTAAATCCAACACATCTGTTAGAGGTGCTGATGTTTTTAGCTACAAAAGGGGCCCCTCAGTCAGATTCTGCTCCAGGCCTCATCAGCCTTGGACCGGCCCTGCATGATGAGGTAATCTGCTGCACTACGCAGAGACGCACAACAAACGGGAGATTTAATTTAATGCTGCTAATGTGGCTTCAGTAGCTCTAACATTTCGTGTCTGTTGAGTTTTTAATAAACGTCACAAAAACTATTCTGGTTGGTCGAGTTTATGGGACGAGTTTCTCAGATCTCCGCGCCGCTGCAAACATTAACTCTGTCTGACTAAGTGGACAAAGCATTTGATATGTTTGATGCATTGAGTAACCAGAAAAATAATACTAAAAATAATAATATAATATAAAATCAGCATGATGCGTTACAGACAGGAGCGAAAGCTCCTCACCAGGCTGAACCTGCATGATCAGGTTAGTGCTGGTTCGTTACCTAACACACCGGCCAACCGGGAACACATAGATGAACTTGATCAGTGCAGGCAGAGACAGGCTGGGAGGCGTGTTGAGATGGAAAAGCCGCCCAAAATTCTTCGTTCACGAATATAAAATCATTCTCACCGCTCATTCAGTGCATCTCTGAAAGCGATTACAAGTTATTCCTGCAGTTCACGTAGAGCTGCGCAAACGGAGCTAACTAGAGTGGCTTAAAGTCCTACCTTGATCAAAAACTCTGGAAAGAATCATAATTCCTCACAGGGGGTTGATGTAAATATCCATACAGGTCAGCCTGTGTCCAGTTTGAGTGAAAGGAGGCGCGCGCGGTCCGCGCTGAGGTAAACTTAATCCAGCTACTGCAGCGCGCGAGGCAACGAGCAGAGGAGCCAGCGGTGTGATTGGTCCGGCTTTAAATGCATAAACTAGAAACCTATCTTCTATAAACATATCTTTTAGGAATAAATCTGCTCCGCTAGTGAAGCGCTCAGAGCAACAGAGACGCTTGCAATCCGGCTTAAAAAAGAAAGAAAAAAAAAGT